CCCCCCCCCCCCGAGATCTGCGGGAGAGGCCCTTCTCCGGGACCCCTCTGTGAAGGAAATTAGGAGGATAGGTACTTGGAGGAGGGCTTTCTCCGCGGTGGCACCCAATCTATGGAATGCACTTCCCAGAGAGGTCTGCCTGGCACTGTCTTTATTTGTTTTTCGGCGCCAGGCGAAGACCTTTTTATTCAAACATCATTTTAATTGCTTATATTATTTGCTTAATTCTTCGGCCAGGGCGACTTATTTTATAATGTTAATGTGTTTTATATTTTTAGTGTTTTATATTTTAACTGATGTTTTGTAAGCCGCCCCGAGGCTTCGGCAAATGAGGCAGCATAGAAATTTTTAAATAAATAAATAAGAGGGCATATAGAATAGGAGGTGATCCTTCAGGTATTCTGGACCTAAGCCATATAGGGCTTTATAGGTTAATACCAGCACCTTGAATTGGCCCCAGACTTTAATTGGGAACCAGTGTAGCTCATAGAGGACCGGCATTATATGAGAATAATGTCCGGCCCCCATCAGCAACCTGGCAGCTCTATTTTCTTACCATTTGAAGTATCCAGACCATTTTCAAAGGCAGCCCCAAGTAGAGTGCGTTACAGTAACCCAACCAGGAAGTTACCAGGGCGTGTATCGCCGTTGTTAAGCAGTGCTTGTCCAGGTAAGAACACAGTTGATGGACCAGCCGGAGCTGTAGGAAGGCACTCCTTGCCACTGCCGTCACCTGGATTTCCAGGGATAGCTCTGGGTCAAGGAACACTCGCAAGCTGTGGACCCTGTCCTTTAGAGAATGGGTCTCAAACTCAACTTACCTGGGGGCCGCTGGAAGTAGAGTCTGGGTGAGGCTGGGCCGCATCAAGTATTCCACCACTGCGGTGGTGGTGGGCCGCTCATCCCGCGGCTGGCCCGGGCGCCGCTGGCGCTTTGAAGGCTGCAGGGCTCCTCCCCCGTGCCCCGCCCATCCCAGCAATTGGCCCGCGGGCCATGAGTTTGAGACCCCTGCTTTAGAGGGAGTGCTACCCCGTCCAGGACAGGACCAAAATCACTTACCTGAAAACCCGAACTGCCCACAAAAAGGACCTCCGTCTTATCTGGATTGAGTCTCAGTTTATTGGCCCTCCAAAACTAAAGCAATGCAACACAACAACCACCATAGGACAGCAAACCGCAGCAGCTATAATAATTTACACTGCCCCCCTGCACAACAGCAAATAATAAGCAATATTTAAAACTAGCTCTACAGATAATAAAACACACAGACTTAACTGTTATAATAACTGGACAATGAAAAGTTTTTCACCTGGTTTTGACAAGATAGTAAGGCTGGCACGATGCTCTAGGGGAAGCATGTTCCAGAAGGTACTCTTCTGGTTTTCATCTCCCTTACTTCTTTTGTGGGGGTAGTTCCCTGAAAAGGACCTTGGCAGATGATCTTAAGGGTTGAGTAGAAATATATGGGACAAGCATGGCCTCAAGTCTAGGGTTCAGGGCTTTAAATGTTAGACAAAACTCTTTGAATTGGGCCTGAAATTCAACTTAGAATAAATACTGCAGGAATTTGAAAATCACTTCTTTTCATGGGGTGTTTATATTTTATTTAATGTTTTATTTATTTAAAAATTTTATATGCCGTCCTCTCATGCCTTGGCATAAAGGTATCTAATGAGTAGTGTACACATGTAAATAGTGTAGTCCCTAAAGGGCATATATTTTTGTAACTGATTTTTTTTTTCCAATAGGCAACTAAATCTTCTAAGCACTGCAACTCCTGCAGTTGGAGCATGGCTTCTTCCAATTGATCAAGTGAAGTCCTCTTTAAATAAATTAGAAACAGAAGGAACACTACGAGTTTGTGCTGTCATGGGCTGTATAATGACAGAAGCCTTAGAGGTGGGTAGATTGTTAAGTGACTTAATGTACAAAGCACTATATATCCTTCTGGATCAATGCATGTAAACATCACTGGAAGGAAGAGAAGACTAAGGCCTCTTCCTGTCAACAACAGACGAAGTTTCTGCTGCTGCTAATAGTGATGCCAGAATAGTGGGATCTCTCAGGTTGTTGTGATAAGGTTTCCTCTATATAGCAACCCAGAAGCAGCCGGTAGCACTGCTTCCATGCTTCCCTTAGCCTCAAAGAAGCAGCATTATCTGTCAGGGTCACCAGCAGAGGCTGCGGCTGACATTTCTTTCACTTCTTAAAATCCAGAGTGTCTGGAACTTTGTTTTTTTGTACCCCTGTGGTGATGTGGAAACAGTTTGTGGGGGAGGCTTTAGCTTTCCCTTAATTCAATAACCCCAAAGCTGCTTCCCTTCCTACCTCAGTGATCTTACAGCAGGTTCATTAGGGTGTGGGCAAGGTTTCAGCCTCCTTCACTCCCTGTGTATATGAATACATAGAGTCTTCAGGTCCCATTTGGTCATGGCTTTCGTGTATATTGTGTGAATTGTGCTTAAAATGAATGTATATATGAATTCAAATGTAGTTTGAAAATATTCACAAATTAATGAGATATTGAGTTAAAATTCAATACATGCACAATTGATTTGAATGCAAAATATACTGATGCATCAGTTCCTTCTAAACACGTGCTATATGTACAGCCTTGATGTTACGTTTATGAATTGAAAAATACATGAATACATTGAATTAATGGTTCTCACGGCTCTTAACCACTTTTATATATTTAGAACAAAAGCGTTCACTTCCCCTTGAGGAGCAAGTATAACAGGCTCACTAAATTAGCCCGTTACCTACAAGAAAATCCCTCCTGTTTGCTCTGTAATATATTGCACCATTATCTTCATCAAGCAAACTATTCAGTCATTGAGGATGCAACTATGGTGAGTTACCATTTAAGAATAGTGTCCTGTCAAGAAAAGAGTGATTTTTTAGTACTTTCAATAGTATAGTGCTTGTTATTTCTTAGTATAATCAATATCTGTTAAAATTTCTGCAGAAATATTTTGTGAAAGATTTGTTGTTCATCTCAAAGCTGTATTTCCTTTATTTCTCCCTGAAATATTAAACTTGGGTAGTGAATGTGAACAGAAATGGAATTTAAACAAGAGGGTGGCAATATGTTCAGGGGAATCTGAAGATTTGTAGAAGCACCAATTTAAAAATACAAAAACAAAAACACCCCTTTAGGACTTTGCCTTGTGAGAACCTTAAGCAATTATGAACTCGATGAAAGTTTCATTTTGTTCCTGGTTCACATGAGGTGTGAAATAACAAGATTATGTGGTTGGGTATGCTCAGTGCAGTGGGTCATGTCACATACTATGTGACCTATTCAGCAATAACCTTCTTCAGCTTGTTCAATTCTTTAGGCAGTTGCAGATGAGAGCATGGCCATTCCAGTCTGGTCAAACTTGGCTGATAAATTAGAATTCAGCCCAGGTATTATACATGTTGGAGTTTGTTGAGCAGTATTAGACTTTGAACAAGATGTAGATTTTAAGGTTGCAGTCAAATGCATATTTATATGAGGGTAAGCCTGACTGAACATTGTCCTATTTCTTCTTTTAAATGGTGATTCAGTGTTTTATTATATTTTCAGTGTATTTTTACTGTTTTCATTAATATTGTGTTTCTATTTCTTAGATACCTTGAATTTTTCCAAAATATAGACATTAACTGCAATAAACAAATTATATATAAAACACTTATGAGCAAGCAACACATATATGATTGCAATGTATGGTGCTACAACACTTTCTTTTTGCTTGTCATAGTAGACAAATATGGTTCCTTTTCAGAATTAATTTGTAGAATATCCTGAATGTGTGTTTGTCTTCTAGAGTGATGGCCTTCCTGCTTTGGTGACATTAAAGAAAGGTCTTATTGCATTAGCTAGGCAGTGGATGAAATTCATTGTGGTAACACCTGCCTTCAAAGGTGTGAGTTTACATAGGCCGGCTCAGCCAATGAAACTCCAGTCAACTGTACCCCATGAGCAAGAAGATGCATTTGGCTTAGACAATGGAGGCGGTCTTCAGAGTGACACAAGTGCTGATGGAGCGGAATTTGAGTTTGATGCAGGTATTGTTGTATTTCAGTTACCCTTCTCAAGTTTACTGGCTTCCATAAACATCAGCTTAAACCTTCTCTACCCTTCTGCTTATTTAATATACATGCCAGGTAAGGAGCCACAAGTATTGACCATCCTCTCATGCAACCACCATTGTAGACTGGGGCAGGTCAGAATGGCTACAGCCCTATTGCTGTATACTGACTATCCAGATTTGGATATATATTAGATTTTGGTCATCCAGATTTGGATTATGTCTATGGGAGTGAGTTGGATGTGGCTACCTGACATGGGGAAAGAAAGAGGAGTGGCTGCTTAGTGAAGATTGGAAAAGAAGGAGGACATAGGGAAAAGATTTTTTGTACCAAATGTGAATGAGAACTTATAGGCCAGTGATGGTGAACCTTTTAGAGACCCAAACACCAACCCAAAATCCACTTACCCATCGCAAAGTGCCAACACTGCAATAAAACCTGAAACCTGAGGTTTTAGTTTAGAAAAAACAACTCACAGCCAGTCCAAGCAAATATATGTATCTCCTTGGCAGCTCACTGACTGGCCATGCAAAAGCTCGGATGAGTTGAGGCTAATGAGTCGCGGCTTGTGACATCGTCGCCTGGCTCTGCTACTCCTTTCCGAGCATGCGCGTGGCCCCTATGTGCACTGTTATCTGATGCTTGGCTGCTGGGGTGATGCTCGGATGACTCTTGGTTCGCATGCCAACAGAGAGGGCTCTGCATGCCCGCTGTGGCACGCGTGCCATAGGTTTGCCACCACTATTATAGGCTCTCCTAGTAATAAGTGGGCTTAGTAAACAATAGCTGGTTATATTTCTCCTATCATTAATTAGTACAACTGTTACATGTTCCAGCCACTGTTAGTGAACATACAATGCTTCTGGAAGGAACTGGGACCCGCCCCCCACCTGCTGGCGTTTCCTCTGGACCTGTGAGTGGGGCTGAGTTTATGAGGAAACTATCAAAGACTCATACACATAGTGATTCTGGTCTTAAAATAAAGGTAAAGCTCCTTTGCTTCTACAATGAGGAAAAAAATAAAGTATAATTATAGTATTTAAGGAAGAAAAAAACCACAGTTGTATCATTGCATTTGAAATCATGTATACAGCTTTTAGAATGTTACATAGACTATCACAGTATTATGTTTCTGAACAGTTTCTAACAATACAGCATCAATAATAATTCAGCCTTCTGTGCACCAGGCATGCTGGACTACAGCTTGAGGTGATGGGATATCTGAAGTAACTTTCACCTGCTCCATAACGAAATTATGTCATTTATATTATGTCATTCCTGTATTATATAAATATAAATGAACTAGACTAAAAGCTCTAATATAGGGACTGTTAATCTTATGCTGTGGAAACATTTTTCCAAATGGTTTTTCTTATTAAATATAAATAACCATAATATAGGATACATATATTCATGTTTTAGGGTATCCATCCATATCATTCACTGAGCTATACTAGTGGAGATACAGCTACTGATTCGCCAGTACATGTTGGCCGTTCTGGACTGCATATCCGAGAAAGCCCAAGAAAAGAGAGTCTACTCAGTTACTTGACAGGAAGTTTTCCTAGTCTACATAATCTCTTGGAGGGGACTCCTCAAAGAAGTACTACAGCTCCTAAAAGTAGTTCTTTGACAAGAACAGGTACTAAATCATTGTACTATGCTCACTTTTAGTGATGAAAACTTCATGTGATGTGTTAATTTCACACATTAATGGATATTTTCTATATATGTTGTCTTCTAATGACCCATTCCCTAGGGATTTCTTCCTTACTTTCCACTAGTAAGTAGAAAGACTAAACCAGGGGCTGGATATCAAGCACCAAGCACTTTTATGTAGTAAGTTAATACGTAAAGTAGCAATAAATCAACACAGTTCAACATTAGTCCAGCACTGTTCTAAAACTGGAATGGAAGACACAAAGTATTTAAGGAATTGTTTTTATGCTTTGGAGATTTATTGCCATGCCAGTTGTAATTGAGTCTAAGAAGGAAGTAGAAAGTGACTATTAATTCATTCTGCTTTGAATCTTACTTCAAAGAATCTGTCTTGTAGTGAAGAGAGATGACCCCCCTTCCCCCATTGACTGGAACACATGGGCAAGTAGAAGGAGAATATATGGTTTGGTGAATATTCCATTCTTCTCCATCTCCCTATCACACAAAAATGCATCTACCCTGCAGCCTATAGGATCCTCTGTTTTGCTAGAAAACCAGTCTAACAGAGATTTAATGGCAATCCATCTTAACATATGGAATAGTGGTTGAAAAGGAATAGTCATGGTGCCTATCTTCTTTAACAAATTATTAATAAAGTGTTTGAATTTGTTTTAAGCGTGCTACCTTGCAGCAACAAGCATGTTTAAGAGCAGAGAATAGTAACAATAAATAATTTGGGAGGCAGGGGACAAATACTATCTTTAGATCAAGGCATACTGATGAAGGGGTACACTTAAGCTCAGAAATGAAGGACTCTTAGTTCAATGTATGATATGGGCTAATGACTGGGACTGTTAAATATTTTCTTTTTTGCCACTCTAGATTTATGCACATGTAGTAGTAGGTTGTTGTTTTTATACTCTTCTAGTAAATACTATGCCCTCTGAAATGTTATCTGAACATCCTTTACTGTCGGAGCCATCATCTGTGAGTTTCTATAACTGGATGTCAAATGCAGTAGGAAACAGGGGAGGTACTGTACAAGAGTCTCCCATCACCAAAACTGGACACAATAGTCTCCCAACAGGTATTGATTTGAGTTCAGTGTTTGCTTTAGTATTCTAATAGGATCAAGTTAGCACCCTATTTTAAATAAGCTGCTTTTGAGTTACCAACTGTATCCGGGGGGGTGGGGGACCCTTAAACATAGACTGCTATACTCAACCCACTTCTTGTTTAGTGAGTATATCGTTTCCAGAAGGGACTACACAGATTTCTCAGTGTCTGTCCCCCTCCCCACCACATTTGATTTTCAGTCAGACTGCTTGTGAACATAGAGGATCAGTACCTTGGTGATAAAACAGAATGGCAAGTTCAGGGATTTGACTTTGTATTAGCTATTTTACTACCATTCTAAAAGTGTCCAGTAATTTCCATCAACCAGGACCCAGCTCTCTGCTGATCATTTTCCTATTCTAGTTGTTACTTCTGTATGAGTGGGTGATTAACCTGCTGAAATTTACAAAAAGTTTTTCCTTTAGACTTGAATTTAAGATGTTTTCTTTCTCAAGAAGCTGAATGGGCTACATAAGTTAGGACTGAGTATGCTAGCATAGTTAATATGAGAATATTTTATAAGATTATACAATATTATGTAAGAATATAAGAATTAATATGAGAACTATTTTGTAGGTGTGGCCCCAAATCTTCCAACTATACCTTCAGCATCTGACTTCAATACAGTACTGTCTAGTGATCAGAACACATTGGATGGAACTCATTCCCAGCACAGTACTAGTCAAGATGATATCGCTGGTATTGAGGAAGGTAACCAGGGATTCCCTGCTGTACAACTTGCAGATGCCCAAGTGAGTGTTTTTAAAACTGGAGGATCAGTTGCAATGAACTTCTTCTCTAACAAAAAAGAAGCTATATTAGGTGACCCTAGACATCCAACTATAGTAAATTTAATAGCAGTTCCAACGTTCTGTGTTTTTTCCTAATCCATGAATAAAAATGTCTCTGAATCTGCTTTGCCAGGTTCTCTTAACGAAATGAGAATCTGTGGAATGCAAGTATAGCTGCATCTTGTATTTAAAATCCTCATGTGTTATTCTGGAAAGATTTGATGATTTATGTTCTTTGAGTTCTTTGAGCTATTGAGACTACAGCAGGGGTCCTCAAACTTTTTGACCAGGGGGCCAGTTGAAAGCTGCCAGTGCTGGGCGTGGGCCGGAAAGGTGGTGGAGCGAGCAAACCACTGCCTCCTGCGTGCATGGGCATGGTGGGCCAGACTATGGTTTGTATAGATCCAGGACAGATTAGTAAGCATTATGAATGTACCATTTTCCTTTCTCATTTGTCTCACGTGTGGAAATATTTTATAAGAATGCTAAGTTATTGCCAATAATATTTAAAACATGCCATCCTGAAATGTTTAAAAGAATTGGAAGGACAAGCTTGTTGCTATAGTTGTTAAACAATTTGATAGATATACACCTGGTTTTGCTTTTAATAGGTTGTTTTCAAACCTCTTCTGAGCCACACAGGGATTCAGTCTCAGGATGCAGTGCCATTGTGTTACAGGATGTACTTTGGGGAGCACCTTTCATTCTCAGGGACTCTAGATTGCCTTAGGGCAGACATTGTTGATTCAGATACAGCAAAGGAAAGAAGAAGCAAAAGAGCACGAAGGTATGGTGCTAAATTGCAAGAATGTGTTTGATGTTAAAGAGTCTCAGCGTATTGTATAATCACTCCAGATTTTTTGTCCATTTCTGATTTCAAGAATATTATGAATTAGGGATATGAGAGGTAAAGTAGTTGAAGGTGAAGTAGGGGTAGCAGTTTTTAAAATATTACCTTTAAAATATAATTTTAATTGCTTAAATGGTTCCGAATTTAAGGATTATTCTTATGAACAAATGAGTAAGATGTCATTTGTTCTTATGAGCAAATGAGTTAGATGTGTATGAGTGACAAAACAACTATATGGCCCAACATAAACCCATTATAAGCCAAGAACCACACAGTCATCATTTTGTTATGCCAATTCATTTATGTGAATTTGTTTTTAGTCGCTTTGATGCTGGATAATTATAATTCATATCCTTGCATTGTTGAGTAGTCTACAGTTCTCAAGACAACTATAGAATAACCAAATACAAGTACATGTATTGTATTATACAGCAATAAATGGTCTTTGAAAATAGAGTGAGATTAATGTTATCTGATGTGTAAAGTTAATTAATCTTTTAAAATTTTTCCCCCTTAGGCAAGGAACAGTCAGTCTTCCTCCACTTGAATTTAAACCAGCATTGATGTTGGAAACATTCAGCATCAGTGCTGTTATAATGGAGAAGTCAGTGTCTACACCTCAAAACTCCACCAATGCCCTTGCTTTTCATGACTTTAATAAGCGTCATTACAGCACCTTTCACTGCAATTTTACAATCTCATGTCAGTCAATAAGTCAGCATGTGGATATGGCACTAGTTCGCCTTATCCACCAGTTTAGTACCATGATAGATGATATCAAAGCTACGCAAACAGACATCAAACTCAGCAGATACACAGCTGGCTCAGCTTCTCCCACACCCACCTTTAAAACCCGCAAACACAGAGACTTTCGTTCTTCTGACTTCAGTCGCAGCTCCCGAGGGAGTCTTAATGGTGTCAACAGAGTAAACAATGTGAAAAGCAAACGCTCAAATAATGAGAACAATAAAAAAGAAATTCGAAGCAAAAATTCACTTGGGAGGTCAGAAAGAAGAACTTCTAAAGTTTCCAGGAAAGGATCAAAGGATGTTGTTGATCATGTGACCATTCATATGGATGATTCCGATTCAATTACAGTATCAGAGCAGAGTGAACCTTCTGCAGAGTGTTGGCAAAATATGTATAAACTGTTGAACTTTTATTCTCTTATCTCGGATCCAACAGGGATTTTAGAAAAATCTTCTGAAACATTTTATCCAGCAGGTAAGGAAGTTTTTAGAAAATTGTCCCACAATATTTATTAGCTACTCTTATGCTGAAGATTTCCATTGTTCCAGCAATATACAGAACTTGCAATTTAAGGAAAATGGATGTAGCTGAAAGAAGAAGATAGGCTTTTAAGAAGAAATAGGAAGTTGTGAACTGACAATTCTGAAGTTGCAGCTGTTCAGGAAAGGCTGTAGTGGGATTACCAGTCTAGCAGGCTAAAATGTTAGAATTGTTGAGTCAGTAAACTGCGTGATTTTTGGTTAAAGTTGTATGAAATTATGAATTATAATTTGTCTTTTTCATGTTTAGAAGATTGACATTTATAGAATCAAGATTCTCTGTAGCAATAATGGTCACTAATGCTGGCTGAATTCAGGTTTCATGTTCCTGATCAGGAATGAGTAATGAGAACATGGAAACCAGGATTCAATAATGGTTTGCACTTCTAGTCTGAAGGCCTGACTTAATTACATTTTATAGAACCCTCTTCAGGTGCTCTTGTCTCCCATGATTGTGCTGCTCTTCCATAAACAGCACAACAGTTTAGCTTCCCACTGCAGATTGTGGTGACAGTCTGAACAGGACTGTATTCATGGAGATCAACTACACAGATTTTCTGGAGTCCTTAATGGTATAGAGAATCTCCAGGAGTACAGGAGCCTCTCTTATTCTGACTGCTCCCTTCCAGGTATACAGGGTGGCAGATATAATGACAGTGGGGTTGGAGCTGTTGTACCTCTCACGTGTTTCCTCAGCATGAGAGAAAAAATGCCTGAAGAGGGCTTATATGTTAAAGTGAGTTGGTTTGAAATAGGAGATATTCTATTAAGCCGGGAGTACAAAAGATAAGGGAAGGGAGCAGGGAGGACAAAGAATGTCTTTAGCCTATTGCTCAGTTTGGCGTGAATTGGCATATGAATTGGTGACTGGATGAGAGCCAGTGTGGTGTAGTGGTTAAGAGCATGGGACTGGGACTCAGAGGATCTGGGTTCGAGTGCCTGCTCAGCCATGGAGCCAACTGGGTGACTTTGGGCCAGTCACAGGCTCTCAGCCCAACCTACCTCACAGGGTTGTTGTGGTGGGGATAAGATGGAGGAGGAGATGTAAGCTGCCTTGAGCCCTTTGTAGGAAAAAGGCAGGATATAACTCCATAAATAAATAAATATTGGAAATGTGACATCTGCATATAGCCAGTTACAAGTTCCCTTACTTTTATCTGACTGGCAGTATTATAATTTGTGGTTTTGGGTCTATCTGAACTTAAATTATAAAACTGTATTAATTGTGCCCTGTAGTGCAGTATTTTTTTCTTCACTGAAACTTTTAAAATATTTTCATGGTATAAGTGTGACTCCATGGTGTAATAGTTTACAGTTATAGGGCTATAGTATGGAAATTATTAATGCAAAGTGTAACATCTAAACTGAATTCATCAGAGCATAGCTGGAAGTTCTGCCATGAAAAAAACAATATTTAAATTTATAATTCTTTAATGAAGAAAGTAATGGTAGATTCTTGGTTGTATCAATTCTGTCACATTCTTATTGGATTGCTGTATGTTTCTTATAGGTGTCCGGAGCCCTACTGAACCTACTTGTAGGGTTGCATTTGAGAATGAGCAGGATAACAGCAGCTTGAGCAGATCACAGAGGAAACGCAGTTTGGTAACATCTGAACCTCAGCATGTGACCCTGATAGTCTTTGGAATAGGCATGGTAAATCGCACACATCTTGAAGCAGATATTGGTGGGCTTACAATGGAATCTGAACTGAAGAGGATTCATGGAAGTTTTACACTCAAAGAAAAGATGAAAGGTAGAAAGATTTTCTGAATAAAACAAAGGTCTCCCTGTCAATATGCTATAAGAAGATGGACAGAACTATTTTTGACAACCCTATTTTTAATTGCTGAAATATACAATCATTCCCATGTTTAGCTTATTTTAATAGAGAATATACATTGTGGTACATCGATAGAGTGCTAAAATAGAATTAAGGAGACCTGAATGACCTTGGTCCAGTCACCAACTCTCAGCTTATATCTGCAGGGTTGTTGGAAGGATAAAATTAGGACAGGGAGAAGAATGAAATTTTCTTTATCAGAGAGCAGATGTCTGCAGTACCACAGAGGGCATTCCTTGCTTCAGGATGGTGCATTCTCCTGGCTTTACTACTAAATGCATTTCTAGGAAAAGGAGCTGTCCAGTTCTGCAGACCAGACTAGAAGGGACAGATAGCCCTTCAGTCCATCTCTAGATTACCTCCATCAGTGATAACTTGCTGCTGCTGCTGCTGCTGCTAAATTTAGCTTGAACTAGAATGAACTGTGAGTTCTTAGAATAAACTGGAACCTTCCAGTCAGGCAACTGGAACACTGGACATTTCTGGGATGTGTTCCATATTTCCATAAGCACTTCTCTATGTATGGTGGAAGCCTCTGAACCTAGAACTGATCCTGGAAGTATTAAAGAAATAGAGAGAATTTCCACCATGACTCTCAGAGAACAGAAATTGACAGTAAGAACATTTGTGTGTTTTCCCTGAACATCACAGAAAGTATTCCTTACTTGTGCTGTGTCAGAGCAGTAATGCTACAGGTACAGGGCATTCTTACAAGCATTGGACACACCTGGACTATTACACTGTGTCAAATGCTAAGGAGTTGGGTCCTTAAGAATGCCATCTCAGCCCAGCGTCCCGGGATAAATCATGTATAAATGCACCTTGCTTACTTGCTCCCTGAAGAATTGTCATCCAAGGTGAGGTATATCCTCCATAAAGCACAGGAAAATCATGAACTTCACTTTGAGCTCCTTGGAGGAAAGCTGGAATAGAAATATACTTAATTTAATTAATCAAAACTAAGTGGAAAGAGTGCATAAAATAGTCTGCATGCAAATAAAATATTCAGCATCAAACTTTGCTATTAAGTATTTCTACGTAGTCTAATCTGTTCTACAATGATTCCATTAAATATTTGCTAGCAGTTTAATGTAATTACTTTGCTGTTCTTTGTCTAGAGTCTTTCTACTGACCAGGAAATATACAAATAATACATAACTCCAGATTATTTTTTTCTGTTTAAAGATGTACTGCATCAAAAGATGACAGAGACATGTGCTACTGCTCATATAGGTGGTGTTAATATTGTTCTTCTGGAAGGGATCACACCAAATATCCAGTGAGTATGAAATAAAGCTCATATTTATCCTTGAATTTGTGTTTGTAGTAGAAGATAGCAATCGTCCAATCAGCGGGCATGTTTGGACATCAAATTAAGCCACCCTGCAAATGAACCATGATGAATTGCTTGTTCACTGAATAGCCCACAGTACGATTAAATTGACTTATTATGGGTTATTCCCCCTTTGTTCCCTCTCATTCTTCCAACAGGCATCATCACATATTCCAGTGTCCTCCATAGCAGAACTATCTTTTCTTTCCTTTCCCACTCCAATTGCTACTGCTTTTAGCACCTTTTTTGTTTTGCTTTGTTTTTGCAGCCTCAAAAATCCCCACTACAGTAGCATTTTTTCCAATCCTTGAAAGTCATACAACTCATCCATTATGGTTATGATTACTTATTTTTTTTGTCCATTTTCACAAGTGCATTTTATAACTATTCAGTATTCATAGCCTAGCCTGGCCCAATGTCCTTATTTGTTTTGGCTGTCAAAGAGAGTGGTGAAGTGGAATTGCTAGCAGTGTCCTATAGGCTCATTTGTGCATGGTTGCAAGTGGCAAGTTATCAACTGAAAAGTAACAGTGAAAGACGAAAACACATCTAAAAAAGATGCACCAAGTGTATGTGGAGATCAGTATCTCCCACTTAGTTATCCAGGTCTTCTGGATTTTAAGAGTTTATCTGATAGTTCTCTGTACCCTTCATCTTTTCAATATTTTCTCAAGTCTCCAGCTACTCCTAAAAGGAGAGGTATTAATTAATTAATTCCTTCTTTCTTTAGGGGGCTCCTTTTCAGCACACTTAATCTGCTGCAATGACTTCAAATGACTGTGAAGTAATAGAGATGAATTTTGTGCATCTACTGTATCTGCTACAGGGGTACACATTTTCCTTCCATTAACTTCCCAGTCCAAAAAAGGGGCTTAAATATTCCCAACACTTAAAAAAAAGCAAAACCTTAGAGGATGCCAGAAAGGCACAGAGCAAATGGGATGTCAGCACCAGCAGTGCTTATACCTGTCTATCCCCTGGTGGGGCCTCACAGTCTTCTAATTTTTTTTATTTGTCAGAGAACTGCAGTAACCATAGCAGTAAGTACTTAGAAAAGGAGCCATGAAAAGCCATAAATATATCTGCTTTTTGGAGTAGCTGAATTGTCAGGGAAAAATTCCCCCATTTCTACTATAGTCATCTGAGACAGGCAAGGAAATTGATCAGGAAAGACTATGTATAACAGCCAAAACAGATCAGTTTTGCATGAAAAACAAGCAAATGAAAAACACACAACCCTCAATTGTGTATTTCTGAGGCACTGAAAAATCAATTTAAAATAACTAAGGAATGAGTGACAGTTCTTTCAAAGTGCCATAGCAGCACTGGAGAAACAAGAGCCCCTGGCTGGCAAGATTGTGATAATCAAGCAGCTCATGTTTTTTTGTAGCTCTTGGTGAGCACTGCAACTCATGATAAAATGAAACCGCTGGGTTTCAGTCACTATTGTAGGCTAGAAAACCCCTACAAAAAGCCTTAGTTCCCAGCATGATTTGCTCCCCAATAAAACTCCAGGTTTAGATGACGTAATAACCCACCATGGATGACTGCTTGTGCTGGGCTGCCATTATAAAGCAGGGATGGACAGAAGGTAGATTTCCAAGTGTTTTGAACTTCAGATCTCAAAAGCCCCTGCCAGCAAAGTAAATGGTTAGGAATGTTGGGAGTTGGTCCAAAACATCCAGTGATCTGCTTTTTGATATAAAACACAGGTTCCAATCCTTCTCCTTTAGACATTTAACAGAATTTCAAAGATATCCGAGTGAGCTGAGAATGACAAGGTGATAAAAAAGAAATGCCTTTATGCTTCTATCTTTCTTTTAAGCATGGATGTATAAATAATAAAAATTAATAAACTTGTGCATTATTACTGAATGGCTAATTCCTAGTAGGAAGTGGTGGAGTTTCATCAGTTTACCTAGTCAAGTTTGTATAACAGGATTTGAAATAATCTTTGAAATATATTAATGCAGTCATCAAGACTAAATGGATGTACCTAAGCATCTTACCTTCTTGCGTATTTTTTGTGTGGCTTGTATTTAACATGAGTCTAAGTTCTATCAATTTGAATTTATTGCTGTTTCTCTTTCCTCTTTCTACCAATGATCACATTATTAGCTCTTTTTCTTGACTCGGCAAAAATTCATGGCATGCAAATTTATATTCTTAGTATTAATACTGACCCATAAAATCAGCTATATCAGATCCATTCCACTGTGTATAACAGTTTTTAGAACACCAGTTGACTTTTAGTGCTGGGTTCTATATTCACTTATCATTTTAAGCAAGCTATAAGTTCCTTTGTAGTGTGCTACTAATGATTTTACTTTCTGTAATTGCATGCGGATGCTGGTCTTCACATTAATCCATTAAAAGTGAACATAATTTGTTTCAATATTCTGTATGTTTTGCTAATGCAGCCACTTTTCCACTGTTGATATAGTTCAAAAGTGCATGATTTTCTTTCATTAAACACTTAAGTTAGAATAGTAGGCCACTACAGAACATAAATGTTCACATGTTTTTTTCAGTACTACCTAAATAATCCTTGGTATGTTGTTATGGTTGTGAAGAATATTTTCAGCTGTTTGAAAGACCATGGAAACAGCTAACTTTGGGAGCAGTTTGCCCTGAACTATTGTTTGATTTTCAGTATTGTATTAAGTAGTGGAATATTAATTTTCCTGTGATACTTTAGTACCAACTCACTTTCAGGATCAGCATTAGTCAGCGATTAACAGGATAAAGTGTTTACTAGCTACTACATGTGATCCCAAAAGATAGCTAACACTTTTTTACGTTAATACAAAAGCCTGATCAGCAAGAACAATGCTGTCAACGGCTGCTAGTTGTCGTGATGGTTATATCCTACTTGAAGTATCAGAGGTGACATTCCTGTGTACACCAGCTGCTGGAGAAGTTAGAGGGGTTGGTGCTGTCACAATCATGTTCTGCTTGTGGATTTCACACAGGCAAATGATTGGCTGTGGTGCAAACAGAATGATGACTAGATGGGCTTTGGTCTCATCCAATGTGGCACTATATTAATAGTGTTAGAAAAGTAGAAGTGATAATTGGTCCTTAAAAATGTGAGATAGATGCTTCTGTTGAGAGTTCAGTGTACACTTCAAAGTGTGCAAAAGACCCTAACATGAACTGACTTTTCCATTTAATTGGAGAGAGTAGCTTAGCATTACTTTTTCTTTCAGCAGCCAGAAATATTAAGCTCACTAAATGAATTATCAGGTCTTTGAGAGAGTTGCTCCCTTTCAGCCCCATTCTTGCAAGACATCACTGCTTAAATATTAATATTATCAAGCAATTGATCATATTGTGGGATACAAATATCTGACTAATTCTTTTGCATGACTGTTTATTCTTCGCTTTGCTTTGTTTTTGTTGTTGTTTTTTTGCTTTCTTCCAATCTTCACCCGTAGACTGGAGGATTTCCCTACATCACCAACAAGCACTGCCAAACAAGAATTTCTGTATGTCACATTATGTTTAAATGGCTTGCAGTTAACACTGTGTGTAGTATAGTTAAAATGTGTATTATTGTCTTTAAACGTACCCAGCTGTTCCTTAATTATAGTTAAAATGAATTAAACCCTAGTATATTAGTCAATGTATATTAGAAAAGCTTCATGTGTTTGCTTATCTGTTGTAATCTGTTGCATGCTATAGTTGTGCAATAAGGTGTTCTTTTCCTTCAAATCTTAATAATACAGTCACTTTTTGCAGTTACTAAGGGAGGCTGTAATATGAAGATTATGTTGTAGGGTTTAAATCAAGGCTATAATTTCGATGCTTTCTAGGTGTTTTGGACTACAGCTTCCATCAGTCAGAACCAGCATGACCAGTGATTATGCATTATGAGAGTTGTACTACAAAAAATCTGGAAGGCATTGTGTTGCCTGTCCCTAAACTATGTTGTATAAGTTGTCTTGCTGCTGACATGTCAGGAATGGCTCTGTGTCTACAGCAAAATGTGTGTGCTATGGGGCTGGTTCAATTCTTTAAAAGTACCTTAAGTTAAAATTAGCTCAGTTGTTGGGGTTCACAATTTTATTGTTCTGGCAAGAGTAATATAGTCTTGGGGTTGGCTGAGTGTTCTTCTAACAGATGTTCTGTGTTTTCTTAGGCACTAGACGTACTTCTTACAGGCTGCACTATATCTAAAAGAATCATAAATCAGTGAACAATAGCAGTAACAAAATAAAAATAAGATATTTTCAATGTAGCAATTATACTAGTAAAACTTTTAGTCAGGGAAAACTTGTTAAAATAAAACACTGGAAAACAACAACATTGGCATATGCTGAACATTCCTTGGCAGTATCAGTTAATGTTGCAGTGTGCATGCTCTTTCTCTTGGGAAACAGCTTATACCACAATAAATTCAGTGTTTGAGATAGCTTTCAACTTTGGTTGTAAATTTTATAAATACAGTATATGGAAAGAAGGATCAGGTTGTTCTTGCCTATATGAGAAGCCTTTAAATGGGATAGTATAAGATCGGTTATTTGAAATAAGGCCACAATCCTAATCATGCTTATGTGGAAGTAAATTTCAGTGAAGTTTTTGGGACCTCATTCCATGTAATGACTGAAGTTCACAATACTTATGGGCATATGGGATTCTGACTGTAAGTCTTGGAATGAAGTATGTAGGGGAAACTTCCACTTAACAAAGCAAGTCATGGTCAAGTATTGGGCAGTGTTTCATTTTGCTAGATAATCTTTCACATGTTTATGACCGAACTGAAAGTATCAAACAAAGTAGCTGGCATTTGTCATTTTAATTTATTGTAATGAAATAATAGCTATGTTTTGGCCTCCTCTATTTTTCTATTAAAAATACAAATTGTATGTTCTCTCATTCTGCTCACTACTTGACTATATGAACTGGTAGCCTATTTGGCATTAAAGCTAATGTAAATAACATTGCAGTAGCATAGGCTGCTTTTAGTGTTAACACCAATGGGGTGTGCTGGTGCAATGGGTTTCCATAGAAAATCTGCTTCACCAGCAAAAGCTCTTGGTGATGCAGTATTGGTGGTTTACATTAATGTAGTGTAATTTACATTATTTAGTTGAAATTGTTTGGTTGAAATTACATATTGGAAGAGATGTTCTCTTAAATAGCCGCTAATATGGAAAATGTGCTCAAAATGAAATATAATACATATATGGAGAGAGGTGCATGGCATATGTGTGTGTTGTCTTTCTTCCCAATACTGTCTTGTTGTTTTTATAATGATTAAAATTATTTTGCTCTGTGTGGCCATATACTTAATTAAATCAAATGACCACATTGACAATAGGAATGTTCTTACCCTTGCTTATTTTGAGTAATCTTTGGCTGATGCCTGCTTAGACCATTCATTTCAGTATAAAGTAGAATCATATAATGTAAAATTGACTATTTGCTTCTAATGATTTGGTAAGCATGCATATTCTCACCCAGTATGTGTTGAATGTCCTTTCCTGTCAGTATATAACTACAGACCTCTGACTTAGACATGCATAAACTGAAGACCTTGCATATCTCATTTCAGTAATTAGGCATAGCTGTTTCCTTAAATTGTTTATTAATTTATTATGGTGCAAGATAATTCAACCGAAATTTTAAAGCATATAAACATATTCTTTGTTTCTTCTTAGAACTGTTGTGAAATGTAGCATTGCCAAATCACAGGCTCTTTATAGTGCCCAAAGGGGGTTGAAAACAAATAATGCTGCAGTCTTCAAAGTAGGAGCTATTAGCATCAACATTCCTCAACATCCAGCTACACTTCATAGTATGATGGTGCGCAGTTCTCATCAGCTTTCCAAACAAATCTCTGATCTCATCAGACAGCCAAGTGTTGTGTGAGTATTGTAACTGTAGTGATTTGGAGGTGTGACTTGCTACCTAGTTTGTGCTGAATTTGCGTGGTCAAACTAAAATTTAATGTTTTACAGCATGTATAGTACCCAATAATTGGTCTGTATCTTTTGTATCAATAGTCCACAGCCTTCAAAAGAAGATACCGCAACACCATTACCTGCAGAAAAGACACCTACAAGTGTAAATCAGACACCCATTGAAACAAATGAATTTCCACAGCTGCCAGAAGGTTTGGAAAAGAAGCCCATAGTTCTTAAATTCAGTGCCATGATTGATGGTATTGCTATTGGAGCTGCACTTCTGCCATCCTTAAAAGCTGAATACAAGATGGGAAGAATGAGAAGTCATGGAATGACAGGTAACAGTATTCCATGAAACTTCATAAAATAATGGTTACTTATAGAAAACATGGAATGGAGTGTGAATGTTGAGTTCTTGGCCCTCTCTAATTCTACTTCTAATACATTTCACTGTGATTAAAAGACCTCTTTCAGATACACTCCAAAACTTGGACAAAGTCATTGGAATCTTTATCTCCCAGTTGAAAGATGGAACTCTGTCTCCCTCTCTGCATTTCATGCTGTATTGCAGCATATGTGTGAAACTCCTCTCCATTTGAAAATAAATTTGCAAAGCAGCATGAAAGGAGCTACTTGCAATGTTTAAAACTAGTCAGCTAATTCTTTGATTTGGTTCTTCACCTGTTAGAAGGCCATGGCAAAGTGCAGTTGTTCAGATGCTTGGCTCAAAAGCAGAAATTGGAATGCAGATGGGGTGCAAAAATCATTTGTAGCATTGGCAAATATAGTGTGACAATTGCTGTAGTGGTGCTCTTTTTATTATATATTCAGTTTTCAAAATGTTGCTGTTGGATATGGTAGAGTACATCATGGTGAACTTTTCTTAACCAGTAGGATTTTAACTTTGTCATTTAACAGCAGTCTCTGTCATTGCCTGGGAAGCCTGTATAACATTTAGAATATGAGCTGATATTCATAACACATGGGTGGAAGTGATAAACTGAAGTGGTAGAAATTCAGCCTGCTTTGCTGCACACTGTTAACATGAAACAGCAATTTAAAATTCTTCCTCGTGTAGAATGAAAACACCCAGCATGTAGCCAACAAGCACATCTAAGAGCCGTTTAGCAGAACTTTCTCATCAATATATTATTTTAGTGATCATATGGCATTTATTTTGTACGAAGGAGCTTTCAGAAATAGTACTCTTGTCCTACATTTAGAAGTGGTACAGTATAGAATCTTAACACCACATTGGTAAGTGGGGGATGGCTACTTTCGTACTTACAGTGCAAACAAATATCTTTTACTTTCACAGGTGCACAAACAAGGTTTACATTTGAGCTGCCAAATCACAAGTTACGGTTCACTTCCAAAGTCTCTGCCACTGATATGTCTACCATCCCTCCCTCAGCAAGTCTTAACCTTCCTCCTGTCACAATGTCAGGGAAATACATCATGGAAGAGCATGATACCTATTCAGATCACATATGGAGTATAGATGAACTGCCCACCAAGCAGGGCTATTATCTCCAGGGAAACTATTTGCGTTGTGTAGCAGAGGTTTGTATTTAAATCTGCCTTTACTATTTCAAAACCTTCATTTGAGTTTTCCTATTATATATGTATGTTTACATGCTACATCAGTAACAACAGTTACTGCAATAGTAATAGTAATCATCTGGAGCAGAAACTAGTATCACCATCTTGTTTGTATTTCAAGCTTGAGAAATTCTGCTTTAAAGAGTATGTTTTTAAGTTTGCTATTATCTGCTTCAAGCCTCTCTTAATCATTAATTATTTCATGGTTTATAAGAGACATCATGAATTAATGTTTTTGTCTATCTGTTTAGATGTTTCTCTTTTCCTTTTTCAGGTTGGGTCTTTTGAACATAATCTTACAACAGATCTTTTGAACCATTTGGTTTTTGTGCAGAAAGTATTTATGAAAGAGGTCAATGAAGTCATACAGAAAGTCTCAGGTAAGCCTAATGGCTTTAGAATGTTACTACACAATTATCCTAGTTAACCCTAATTTTGCTTCCTTGTGTTATTTGAACCCTCAAATAATGATTTTTATACCAAAATGTTGGCTATAACTTTTTCATAATGCTGTGTAGGCAGGAGTAGACATTACTGATAATTAATGGATCTGCACATTTTGATCAAAATGTGTTTTTCCAAACACTGCTGACTGGTATTTGGATAAAATGATGAAGTAAATAATAATTGTAGATTTACAAGACAAACCTAGGCAAATCTGGACAAAATCCTATGACTGATGAACACAGACTGGCCAGTCATACAAAACTAGACCCTCCACTTGTGAGTCATGCACCCAAATAACTGATGTTTTATGGCATAGCTCCAGTAACTCTATAGGGCAAGTTGGAGTGTGAATATGTTGTAATACTGTGAAGGAAAGTATGAACATTTCTGATGCTATCTATGCATTTATGGAGTTTTTGTTTAGTTACACTTAGTATCACACTATTTTGAAGATTCCAAAAACTTTTGCTTCAGGATTTAATTTGAACAGTAGACATGGATGATTCATATCTGATCTTCCAGTCATTACATAGCATATTTTAAAATCCACAAATTAAATGAATTGAAACAAGGGCTGAATCAAGTTGTCCAGTGATGGTTGGAAACTGGAAAGATGGGTTCTTCTGTAATCCTCCTGGAGTCCCAATCCTGTAGCTGATATATTTTTTTAATCATAGATCTCTAGCAGGTTTGTTTTGCTTCTTAAGTGGGATGTGGTGTGGTGTAGTGGTTAAGAGCGTGGGACTGGGACTCAGGCGATCTGGGTTCTAGTCCCCGCTCAGCCATGGAGCCAACTGGGTGACTTTGGGCCAGTCACAGACTCTCAGCCCAACCTACCTCACAGGGTTGTTGTTGTGGGGATAAGATGGAGGAGGAGATGTAAGCTGCTTTGAGCCCTTTGTAGGAAAAAGGCAGGATATAAATCACAATATAAATAAATAAATATAAACGTGTTTAGTAAGTTAGATCGATTATGCATTTTAGCAATAAAATATATGAAAATCATAACATCCTTTGCAAAACTTGGAACAATTATAAAAATACTTTACACAATTGCAGGAGGAGAGCAACCTATTCCCCTTTGGAATGAACATGATGGAACAACTGATGGAGAAAAGCCAAAGATTCTCCTATACTCTCTGAGCTTGCAGTTTAAGGTACAAATCGATTCTGTTCAAAAGAAACATACTCAAATCTGAGTCAATGATAACATTTTAAATGGTAAAATCAGTAATCAAGAGTATATTGGAGATCTATTTTTAAACCACCTGTCAGTGTATCACTTATTAGTTCTTCAGGATATTTGTGGGTCAACAATTAAGTTACGTTCCGATATTACACTAACTAGTCCTCAATAGATTTGTGACATTTCTTTGTTATCTTCCCATATTTTTCCTGTTTTTCAGCAGGGCAGCAATTCTCTATTGTGCTTTTTAAAAAAAGGTTCAGTGCCTCTAGCTGAGTCCTGATTTTGTTCAATTTAGTTCCGTTTTGAATATCCAGACATGCCTTTGGATTTTCTGTTGGCCTGGCCCAACTTGGGAAAACCAAAACAGCAAGACATTCTGAAGATCTGTCATTTCCTTTTCTCTCTAAGAGGATCTGTCCTTATGTTCTACATGAATAAGTTTTCTAAACCAAAGGAATAAGGAATTTAATGATTAGTTTTTCTGTAATCTGCTGTGAAATGCAGAATATTTTTAAAAGCAGTCTTCATAAAATAGGCTTGAGAAAGTACTGAGGCTTATCATAAATATATTTCCTTTCCTTTATTAGGGAATCCAGGTAACAGCCACAACACCATCAATGAGAGCTGTACGATTTGAAACAGGATTAATAGAATTAGAGCTCTCGAATAGAATACAAACCAAAGCAATGCCTGGTAGTACCAGCTACCTGAAACTCTTTGGTAAATGCCAAGTGGACTTAAATCTGGCATTAGGACAAATTGTTAAACATCAGGTGAGTTCCTTTAATTACCATTTTACACCCTGCTGATGACATCTGTTTTTCAAAATGAGTTAAAGAAGGAAATTTTAAATACAGCTTTGTAAAACTTTTAAGTTGGATTCATAGTTTCCCTTCTATGAACAAAAGGATTCAGAGAGGCTTGTGTGAATGAAAATGAATGTGGGCTTAGGTGATTTTCTTTTACCTTTCTTGTGTGCTGTTCAGAGGAACCCCAATTCTCTGGAGTAGAAGTGTGTAGAGGACTAAATGGCAAACTATGAACCCTCTGTTCCGTGAGATGAACTCAACTGACAGATTTGTGGATCTGAATTAATGCTTTTGCAATTAAGTTTCCCTTGTAATATTAATGTGTTCTTTTGCTCTACTATATCCTAGCGTTTGATATGTTTCGAATTCTTTAAGGTTTATGAAGAAGCTGGATCAGACTTCCATCAAGTTGCTTACTTTAAAACCAGAATTGGATTAAGAAATGCCCTTAGGGAAGAAATCAGTGGTTCATCAGATCGAGAAGCTGTGCTCATTACTTTGAATAGACCAATTGTTTTTGCTCAACCTGTGGCCTTTGATAGAGGTACTAATTGACTTGTGTCTACTTTTGTTTTATCAATATACAAGTATACATTTAATGGATATTCAGGTATTAATATGTTTAAACATATTAATTTGAATTAAAAGGCCAGTTGCAGGAATTTTGCAGGTTTGGTTTCTTCTATTTTGTATTCTGAATAGTAGAGTATGACTGAAAGAGATGCATGTTCTTAACTTTTCAGTGGTTGTGTTCACATGCCATGGTAAACTACCCCATGAAGAAACTAGCCAGTGTAGTTCATTCTCGTCATAGCGTGTCTTCCCCTCCTTTCCCATTGTGGTCCTTGTCTCCTTCACAGCAGTGTTGTCTTGTCTTCTCCCTTTTGTTTATCATTGGATCCTTTTTTCAGAGCCTCAGAAAACTGGAGTCATTGGAATGTGGTGGGGAGGGGGTTGGCCTGAGAAAACAGTAAATTGTGTTCATGATTTGTTTATTATTACTTGGTTAGTCTTCCATAAGAGCTCTCTTACAGCTATCAAATATGTGTTACTTTTCCTAGTCAATTTTCTTGTCCTTTTCAGCTGTCAAAGGTATTGTACCTGGAATAGATAATATACACAGACATTGACAAGAGGAAATAGCATATAGGCTAATTTATGTACAGTTGCTAGGAAACAATTGCTGAGTTTTCAATTGAAAAGCACCAAAATGGGAAGAAAGACATAAAAAGGTGCACCAAAGGTGCACCAAAATGTGCGTGGGACAATATTCCCCATACTGCAATGCAATTCTCTCAGTTTTAAGTGTTGAACTGACATTTCTCAGCGTCCTCCAACATTTCACCATTTATCTGAGTCATCAGCTACTCCAGAAACGGATATTTGTTCCTTGCAGTTTTGCAGCTCATTTTCAGAGCAGTTGTTGTGATTCCCTGATAATTCTTAAAACAAAACAGAACAAAACAACCAAAGAAGACAGTTGAATGGAAATGAATGGAGTATTGTGGAGTCAGGACTGCTGCTTGTGCCCCAATTGCTCCATTTCATTCTGCTACCTATGAGAGTGGTTTACCAAAAACTAACTAAATAAATAAAATGTTGAGAATATTTGCATAGTTTTGGGGACTCAAAAATGTATGTAGTTGTAATATCTGGGAAGTAAATGAGGGGAAATTTGTTCCAAGGCCAGGGCTGTCAAAGAAGGGAAAACTCTCATACTGTGGTAATGGAGCAGTTACTGTAGGTATGCAAATTTACCTTCCATTTACTTCCCAACACTTAAATTGATGTATAGTTCTGCATATTTTTAGAACTGTCAGCAGGCTGCAGTAACTGTGATAATAAATACTCCAGTGGAACTGTGAGAAGTAGGGAATTAATATCTTAAATTTCTGAAGTAGCTGGAAAATTGAAGTTATGAGGAACATGCCAGAAAAGGCAGGTCAGCAGTTAAAATGGAGGGAATTGCATTGCAAAGAGAAAGGTATTATTCCTGCCACATTTTGATACAGCTTATTTTGTCACGTTTTCCTTTTACTCGTGCTTTAAACTTGATAACTTTGCAACTTCAGCATTTGTAAACCTCCCAGAGAACCTTCAGGTTATGGGGTGGCATAGAAGTGGAACGAAATAAAATAAATCATAAAAATGAAATTGAACTCAGACATTTGTGCACAAATTAGTCCATCTGCAGTCTTGTTTTGCCAGTTTCCATTTATATTATCTACTCTACTTTGCTGCTCCTTTAAGACAACTGATGGAGGCAAGGAAATTGAGCAGCCAAGAATATATACACAGTATGGCTGTAACAGCACACTTGTGAAATACTGACACCATCATTATCATCTATAAATATATTTGTAGTTTTCTGCAGTTGTTTTTTTAAGGGTGGCAAACCATTAACAGCAAATTGACATGAGTCAGACTGAGAAGTGACCCCATAAGTTTCATAGTTAAGTGGGAAGTAGAACCTGGATATCCTGAGTTCCAATGTTCTAGCCACAACACCACATTCGCTTTCTAGCCAGTCCCCACAACCCATGATGAAATTGCTGTCCCTGGTTTGGATAACACCCATCATGGATTGAACCCCTAGAACAAGCATAGTTTGTTAGTTTTCAGTTACAGTGTCAGTTGCAAGCCCAGTCACTAACTGGGCTTGCAACTATAAATTACATCTATGTCTGAACTCAAGCTGACTTGCTGTAGTATTTCATTCTAACATAATAGAAACTTATTTTACTTTGCAAAGCTGTGCTTTTCTGGCTGAACTACAAGGCTGCTTATGACAACTGGAATGAACAGAGAATGGCCTTGAATAAAGATGTACATATGGCTACAAAAGAAATAGTTGATATGTTACCTGGAATCCAGCAGACATCTGCTCAAGCTTTTGGGACACTCTTCCTCCAGCTAACAGTTAATGATTTAGGAATTTGCCTGCCTATCACAAACACACCACAGGTATTAAAGAAAATAAGAATTGTTGAAAAAAATTGGAATAATACTATTTTTTAAATTAGAGTGCTAGTTTGTTTGCTTAACAGAAGGTATTCATGTTGCAGTAGTGCTATACTGTAAGAACTGGCCACTTTTTAAAACTAAAGTTTACTGTGTACTTGGAACACTGTAAAGAGTTTTATTTTGGGGGAAAATGGGATTTAGCAATACTGGATATCTTTTGTTAAAACTGCAAAATGTTTTCTTTTGTTTATTGGCATTGGTATTTCACAAATTAAATGTTTATAGAGCTAAAGGTATTTTCTTAATATTATTTCAAGCATCTGAAACATATTGAAATTGATCGACTTGGTAACCTGTATCTTTATTATTGGCGTGAAAATCTGAAGGTATTATTAACCTAAAATTTAAAAAATGGGATTTTGTGCTGTGCTGCAGTCTCTAGATAGATGCTATCTTCTTAAAAATGCTGTTTAATGATGAGCAAATGTTTTGTAATCTTACATTATGCCATATTTGGGTGGCATTAAGCATTAAGAACTAGCATTAAGAACTAGTGCCATTTATATTAAAATCTATAAAGGTAAACAGGAAAGATTTAAAATAGTTTAGGCCATGCAAATCCATAAAAAAGGGTCACTACATGGTCTTAAAAGAGGTTATAGGTAGCCAGTTGTTGACTGAAAACTATTCATTGCAGTGTAATGTTTGTTAAGCCACCCTCCACCTGTGTGTGTGTGTGTGTGTGTGAGAGAGAGAGAGAGAGAGGGGGGGGGGGGGGGACCAAGACTTTGTTACAGGAATTGTTTTTCTTGTTCATAGACTAACCACACCACTGATCTGGACACTGGCTCTGCTCTAGTCTTGACTATTGAAAGTACCTTAATTACTGCCTGCTCTTCAGAGTCTCTGGTCAGCAAAGGTCATTTTAAAAACTTCTGTATCCGTTTTGCTGATGGCTTTGAAACAAGCTGGGATGACTGGAAGCCAGAAGTACGAGGTGATCTAGTCATGAATGCCTGTAAGCATTTCCTTTTTGACTTGGCCAGTATTAATTCTGAAATTTCCTGAAGTTGCATAAAGAGAAAAAATTGTACTTGGATTTTACATTAGGGTCATATTCCATTTCCTATACTCAAAGTATTTAAAGTCTTACAGGTTAAATGAATATCCAAATAGAAAAATATAGAATTGGGAATTCAAAATTAATATAAAAATGTATATACTAATTCATGATAATTTTTTTTCTAAAGCATGAAAAGGAAGCATGTTCAGAACAGTAATTATTAAATATTTGCACAAGTTTCATGATTAAAAGCTTTGATGTTATGGTAAATCCACCACATTTTCGCCCTTTAGGTGTAGTTCCTGATGGCACCTATGAGGTGTGTTCAAGGACAACAGGACAAGCAGCTGCAGGTAAGATTTATTTAAAATATGCAGCTATGCTGATAGATAAATAAATAAATGTCAGAAACTATGTATTTATTTATTATTGAAATTTATAGTTAGATTCCACCTTTCTCCCATTGTGGAACTCAGAGTGACTACATGTGGTTGCCTGTGACCTCCCCTCCAAGTTCAGCCCAGCTCCACTCTTGCTTAGGTTCAACATGCTGGATGTTTATTTGTCTCCAGCCCATATCCTCTTTCAAAGCAACTTTAGTGCCTCTGTGTTCTTGCCATCCCATTCCATTCTTTAATTTAAAAATACACTCCGCAATTAATTTTAGCCTGATCATTTCTGTCTTAGTCTATAATTTATTTATTATTTGTTATCTCAGTATATTTCAGCATCTGGTCATTCCCTAGGTTAGTATGAGGAAGGCATCCCACAATGGGTCAACTCTTCCTGTCCCACAGGGAAAAAAGCAAGGAGCATGCAATAGCTTTTCAAATACTCTGTTGGTCCCAGGTTCTTTCTTTGTAGTTCATCCTTGCTTTTTCCCCAAGAAAGAGCTTTTTCTCATCTCTACTCTTTTAAAAAGCTACTTACATCATTATTATCATTTTTCAAACTATGCAAATGTTTATTTTCTTACTTGTAACTTTCCTAACTTCTTCCTTTCCTAACACAGAAACTGTGACTACATAGCTTCTGTTTCTTCTGCTAGTCCTTTTTCACCCAAAATGAGTGTACTGGTGAAGGAATCAAGTGCCAAGGTTGTAACCAAACACAAAGGGGTTACTCATGAATGCTCATACAGACAAAATCCAAAAGCTAAGAGCATGAGTGAGGTCTGGGTTTTGACAAGCAACAGCTGAGATGATCAGCTCCAAGACAATCAATAACCCTTCTTTGGATGGGAAGCTGAACTAAATCTACCACCACTTCTTGTCATACTTACTTCTAGTCTCCAAAAATATCTACATGAGACCACTTGGACAGTTTTTCCAGATGGTGCAGAAGAATAAAGATCAATGCCCAAACAGTAGGCATCAAAGAACTTCTCTTCCTCCAGGCAGAAGTCAGCTTGGGCCTAAAATGTGACACCTGCCATCTCTTCAGCTCTATCAAAACCATTGCCTTCTGTTAAGCACTCACTTTGACCTTAAAAGATTCCACTGGGGTACTCTTCTGATAAGCCCTCCCATGATTCACAAATTCCCATCATGGACTCTTTATGTGGTCTTCTCAGTATTAACAAAAGCCCCTATTTAATTACCTAAACCTATACCATTTAGAATACTATCTCAATCAGTCTTAGTTGTGGTAGGCATTACTTCCACATACAGGATATCAAAAATATCAACCCTTTCAGTAAATAAAGGGCTCATCAACTTTGAAAAAGACCCAGAGAATTTCATGATAGATCTGCCATTCATTCCACAATTTGTACCTTGTTTCACCTTGATCCTACCCTCCTTCAATCTCAATCCTTCTTACTTGCAAGAAAGAGACTGACACAAATTCAGTACATGCAGGACAGTAAAAATAAACATATTGGGTTCTTTTGTCAATCTAATTTTTATTCATATCCTTCCATTCAACAGCTATGGGCAAAAAATATCCAGATCCACATTATCTGGACAGTTAAAAGCATGCATAGTCCTGGCACATTGGGCATCACACTGGCATAAGCCTTTCCGTTATACTTTAAGTACCAGTGTATTCTTGGCTGAAGTATACAAGACAGAAACTTGGAAATAGCCAAGTATTTTCACTAGACTTTATAAAATTGGTGCATTATATAATAGGCATCTTTGCAGATCCCTCCATTCATAGGAGGGTAATTTAGAAGATGTACCATCACAATTTGATGTTGTTCATTCACAAAGTCATGCCCAACTCTTTGTGCTCTCAGGGACAACATTCTTCCACGTTCTCCTATCTTCCAGCATCCCCCAGAGTCTACCCAACCCCACACCCACCCAGCCATCTCAACCTCTGCCATCCCCTTCTCCTTTTATCTTCAATCATCCCCAGCATCAGGGTCTTTTCCAATGAGTCCTACCTTCTCATTAGGTGGCCAAAGTATTTGAGCTTCAGTTTCAGTATCTGTCCTTCTAAAGAGTTGCCAGGGTTGATTTCCTTTAAGATTGACTGATTTTATCTCTTTGCAGTCCAAGGGACTCTCAAGAGTTTTCTCCAACACCACAATTCAAAAACATCAGTTCTTCAGCACTCAGCCTTCCTTATGGTGCAACTCTCACAGCCATACATTACAACTGGAAAAATCATAGCTTTGACTATACAAACTTTTGTCAGCAAAATGATGTCTCTACTTTTTAGTGTGCTGTCTAGATTTGCCATAGCTTTCCTCTCAAGGAACAAGTGTCTTTTAATTTCTTGGCTGCAGTCACTGTCTGCAGTGATCTTGGAACCCAAGAAAATAAAATCCGTCACATTTCTTTCCCATTTATTTGCCAGGAACTGATAGGACCAGATGCCATGATTTTAATTTTCTTAATGTGGATTTTTAAGCCAACGTTTGCACTCTCCTCTTTCACCCTCATCAAGAGACTCTTTAGTTCCTCTTTACTTTCTGCCATCACAATAGACTCATTTAATTCATAAATCTTCATACACAGTTGGTAGTTAGCTTATTGTATTGTGAGATGCCTTCCTTATACCAGTCTGAAGAACAGAACATTAATATTTATCAAGAAAGTTGGTGTATGGAAGGCATCCCAACAGCACCCTTATTTTTCACCAATCCTATGCATATACAGTTCTGCAGCAGTTACCCTCTTTGCCCTTAAACTGGTTCTTATTTTATGGGGATGTACTTAGTTAATCTTTCAGAAGTCATAACTTTCTTCACATTAATTTGCATGATCTTGTGGTCTAAAGACTCCACCTCGGAGAGTTCCTTCTATTGTGTTTCTGGGATTTCATTGTAAATGGAAATAGCAAGGTGGAGCCTGGAACCAATAGAGTACTCAAAAATCTTTTACGTGGCTCCTGCTTTTTTCTGGACAATAGGAAGAATTAACCCATTGTGGGATTTCTTCCACACACCAACCTAGAAGGAACCTTCTTGGTAAGTATCAATGTTCTGTTTTAGTCAACCAATAGGAATGTGAAATTTTTGGAGACTAGAAGTAAGTATGACAAGAAGTGGTAGTAAATTTAGTTAAGTTTCCCATCCAAAGAAGGGTATTAGATCAAATATGCTTTCAGGGGCATTATCTATTTTTTCCTTGCCCTTATAACACAACCATGATTCTGTTACAGTGCAACTGAAAAAGAGTAAATTAAGTTAATGTCGAAATCCTTTATTCCTTTAAAGCAAAATGGTGAAGCATTGCCCCACTTTTTGTATTGAAACAGAAAGTAACAGCGCTGGAACATGGACTCTTAATGTGCTGTGGAAAATGTGTGGCATTGATGTACACATGGATCCTAATATTGGAAAAAGACTGAATGCTCTAGGAAATACCCTCACAACATTGACGGGAGAAGAAGATTTAGATGACATCGCTGACCTTAACTCTGTTAACATAGCTGATCTTTCTGATGAGGATGAAGTTGATACTATGTCTCCTACTGTTAGTGTGGTTAGTGAACTGATCACTATATCCTAATGCATTTCTAATATATTAAGCAACATAGCAGCTTGGCATTGTGCATTTTTGTGCAGATATAGGGACTTGGTCTTGCTTTCTTTGCAATATGTGTTAAAAGAGAGCAACATTAACCAAAAACTAGTGCCAAATGTACTGCCAATCAATGGACCCTGATGGGACTTTGTTATGTACAAGAATGAGAAGTCCAGGATCAGTGAAGAATGGGAAGAATTCAGGTCTCAGTGATAACGTAAAGTTGTTGAGGATAGGTATCAGCATGCATATTTAGACAATTCATGAGAACAGGCTCATGAAAAAGTTTGAAGGGAAAGTACAGTCAGAGAGTCTGCAGAAAGATTAGAGATCAGATAGTAAACAAGAATGAAACATCAACACTTCCTGAACTATTAATCTTGTATTTATTATCATTTAGAAATCAGATGGTGGTCCACTATGTGGAGATGTACACAAACTCACTTTTGGGCAGCGGATTGTAAATCACCTGCTGGGCTTGAGCCCCAAAAGCCATCGTTACTCTGTTCCTGTAGAATATCTGTCGGGATCAGCATCAAGTGATACTTCTTATTCTAACAATTCACACTTAAAAGCGGGCAGGTCTTGCTCATGGGGACATGTATGTAGCATATAAATAGCATCTCTTTGCACAAATGGTGGAATTAGTGGGTGACTGGTAAATCAAGAATCGGTTGGCTTATTTTTGAACTGATTTTGCATGCTATTTTGATTATTACAAAATCTTTTCTATATACTTCTTAAACATTGTTGCTCTTAGGAAACAATTCAATAAAATCATTTTTTGCTTTTAAATAGGAGAATGCTGACTATAGGAGGCCAGGGACATCTAATAACCAGACTGGAGAACAAAGAGGAAGAAAGTATGTGAAACGCTTAGTGGACATAAGGGAGCTGAATGAACAAGCCAAAGTAATTGATGATCTAAAGTAAGTGTGTGTGTATGTGAATGTGTGCTTCTTTTCTGAACAACTTTGTCTAGATGTAGTAATTATCTCATTTGTCCTCTTGATTTCCTTTTGTTTCAACTGACAGTTAATCACATTGTGGATAAAACTGGCAAAATCATTGGTCACTCTGGTTACCTTCAGGAAATCATAAGGTTTTCTTTGCTCTTAACCCACAGATTTACCATCCCATCTGCCTACACATACTTATATTAATCATTTGCATCAATTTCTTTAGGAACCCCCCCCCAGTACTTTTCTGCTGCAAAAAGCTTCCTCATCTGGCTTCTTGAAAGACATGTTTTATTTCCACTATCTACTAGGAACTTTGTCAGTTTATTTCCTGAGCAAAAAAAAAAAAAGGTGCTTATCTTAAATAGAAGTGTAACTGCCAGTTAATAAGTTTAAAATGAGGCCAGGTAAGGGGGCTGCCTTCAGAAGCTAGATGTTTTTTATCCAAAGCTTATATTTGATATTTATTTCATTTTATTTTACCTTAACACTAAGGAGTTCATGGTGGTATACATGGCTATTCCACTTTTATTTTAACTACAATTATTTGTAGCAAAGAAGGAGTGAATGTCTTGGGGGATTTGAATCAGTCTCCTCAGTCTAGTACAACCGACATGATCACTATATTCCACATTTGTTCAGAGCTTTCATTGCTTAATGTTCTCCTCAGGAAACTGGGTGCAAGCGAAGGAACCATAAATCAAGAAATTCAACGTTATCAACAACTGGAATCAGTAGCTGTCAATGATATTCGCCGAGATGTTCGTAAAAAACTGCGTAGATCAAGCATGAGGGTGAGTAGTTTATTAAGGCTCCTTTTCAGACTTTTTAACATTGCTATGTTCCTATCTGTTCTTTTTCACATTATTTTAAAAAGACTGAATATGGTATAGCTATGGCAAGCAATGTTCAAAGTCATACCACAGAATTTTCTGAAGAATTGGTGGGCTATGTAGCAGCAAACTGCTGTGGAAATGCTGAATTGTTTTTCAGTAGGTGGCTTCAAATATTTCAATAATCAAAACATTGTGCACCTGTCAGAGTAAATAACTTTTGAAAAAGATGAATCTGCTTGTACAAGTTCCCACCACCCAATTTAAGGAGACTCTACAGTCCCCAGTAGTTTTCCACGACACAATCTACACCCTGTAGGAGCAGGGTGGTGACTCTCCACAGATGTTTTATAGAAGCTGCGGTAGATTGAAAGAGCAGAGAGAACAGAATGACTGGTTGCATCTGTGATCTTCTTGAATCCAACATAGTGCTTAGCTGGAATCTCCTAAACTTACAAATCTTATGTTATTCCCTGACTTAGGATGTTACCCAGACAGTCTTGTACATTTAGATCTGAACAGAACTTAAAGACACATAGCTTTTTCTAGATTATACCATCATTTTACAATTTTTTTGCCTGTGTGCATGCTTGAGAGAGCGAGAGAGGTGGTTGAAGGTACACAAGGGTCTTGCTGAGATTGAACATGGAAATAATAATGTGTGTGTTCTAGGCAGCATCACTGAAGGACAAATGGGGCCTAGGTTACAAACCTAGTTATAATCGATCAAAAAGTATTACAGCTTCTGGGAGACCACCTCTAAAAAGAATGGACAGAACAAGGTAATATAACTTGAATAATGCTTATATTGTATAAGGCCAAAGATTTTGTCACATTTTTAAAAATAGAAGTTTGATTCTGTATAGCTACTTAATCTATGCCGCCACTGATGAAGTGGGGTCAGATTTTGTCCACATTCCAGATTGGACCTCTTCTACTGTGAACACCTTGGGAGTTCAGTTGCACTAAGCCACATTGTGAATAAGCCATGGTGATTTTGTTATTTTCCAAACAACCAGTGGTGCATCCAATAGACAGTTGGGCAAACCATGGGATGTTCACCCCCTCTTCCTTCCCTGATCTTCTTGTGGGTCGCTGACATGACACTGTGGCAGGACCTAATCTTAACCCTTACCCACTGTAGTCATGAACTGATTCTGGCTCACTTTTTTGTGCTTTTTTAAGTAAGATACACCCCCTCCCAATAGTCCTCAGGCTGATGCACTTTTTGTACTTTTTCTTGAAACTTTAGCTGCTTGGGAAAGTGCAAAAGCGCATCCCACCCACTTTTCAGGGGAAGAAGTTTTTTGATGGGTAGCTGGATCCCCTTTAAAGTTGTTAACAATGTTATTGAATTTCAGTTTCCCTGAAAACAGCTTAATGATGCATGGTACAAACCTTCAAAAATTAATCCATTTTATACTTCCTGAAGATATTGCGGCATAATGTCCATTGGAGCTGTCACTTTAGGGAGAGCCCAGAAAAAGGAAACCAAGTAAAGCAGGTTTAAGTTTAACATCAAGATTCAGGACTTAGTGCAAAACAGACGGGATGTCTTTGACTCAGAGAACATCAGGGTGCTCATTTGAGACCACAGCTCTTTGCTCCATCATCATGCCAATACATGGAAGGAGCAACCAAGACAGGGAAGTTAAATTTAACATCAGGAGCAAATGAAAAACAGAGGGTTTGGTGGTGTCTCTTTTGACTCACAGAACAACAACACTAAAGCACTCATTGTTTGCACCCATGGCCCCAGGCCACCAGTTTTAAAACAGCCATAAACAAACATATCTACCTACTTGCTGCTGTTGCTTCCCTCTGGTGTTTGAATTCCAGACCACTGTACATTTGAAGGCAGAATGAGCTATTGTATATATCACAAACAATAACCACTAATTAGAATCTTTCAGAGGAAAACTTGAGAGGCCTGGAGGAGGCCTGGAGGAGGAGTCATGCAGAAAGTGCATGACTACACATGGCTTAAATTAGTAAATGTAAGAGTGACAAGGGGCTTGTGTGATGATGGGGAAAGCTAAAAATTAGCAGGGCACTGCCCTGCCTGTCCTAAACTAGAGCTATCTCTGTTTAAGTTGCTATGATTTCCTGCCAAGTTGTCTCCAACTTAATGTGACCATATGAATGAGTGAGTGTTCTCCAAAGTAACCTGTCTTTGACAAACCTATTCAACTCTTGTAAAGTCAAGGTTGTGGATTCCTTTATGGAACTGATCAATTTCATATCTGGTCTTCCTCCTCTTCTTCCTTCAGCTCTTCCTAGATTTTTGTCTTCTGAACCTGTAACTGTAAATTGGGAAGAAGCACTAGAACAATGGAGTACCCATCAACAGTTCTAGTTTTAGTAGATGTATGGCATGGATAACAAGTTCCATATTATTAGATGTAGTTGCCACATTTAAAGTGTTTTGAGTACTCAAGTATGATAATTATTTTTCCCTTTCTTAATTTGATCATAGTACACGGCTTGGAGATAGTGAAGAACTTCCAGAAATACGTGTAGATGGAGCATCTCCTGGACCCAGAGTAACTTTCAGCATACAGGACACGGTAAGAAATTGCCTGGGTAATGTACTACAGTTCATAATGGACTGTGATGAAATACATATTTAGGAATAGGAGATGGATACATGTGGATTTAAAACATCTGGCAAATCAGTTATTTACTTTTGTACAATATTACAAGTGATAAGAAATCTAAAAAAGTTTAGATTTAATATTGCACATTTTAAATTACCTTCACTAGTCCTGTCCAGTAACTGTATTGTGGAAAAATATACATATTTTGAACATGCATATGCTATGTTTTGTGGAAAGAATATTACATACATGCACATGATATCCATATTATTTGTTCAATGTTGTCTATTTCTTTGATGTTTTAGTATGTTAAATATAACCAATTTTGTGTTCACTAATGAAATTTGATTTTATGTTATCTTTCTCTTTTAAATGTGCCAATATTATACATATATTTATTTATTTATTTATTTTCCATTTTAATTAAGTTGAATAAAACAGTTTTGGGGATTGCACAACAATCCAGCTGTCCAGGGGAAGGGTATTTTCAGGTATTTGTAAAATTAACAAATATGCTAACTAACTGCATGAAAAATCAGCTTTATTGTTAATCTCTGGCAGCTAAGCAGAATGTATCATAATGCTTATGATGAACAATATGTGCAGTCCAGTATTTCCCTTTTTTTTTGGAAATTTTTATTCATTGTGCCTTTTTCTGGAGCTTGTTCTCCAAAGAGACCAAGTAGATGGCAAGATGTCTTTTTAATATTTTTGGAGGGTAAAACTTTAAAGGCAGAAACAACTTATCCCTAAAATAGAGGCAAATGGCAAAGGAATGCATTAGAGGCCTGATGCTAATTTGTATATTATTGACATGATAAATAGTAGAGGACTTCAAAGCCACATCCAGTACTGATCACAGTTGCTCAGGAAGAGTCGTGAGCCCCTCATCTCCAGGCTAGGGTGTTACTATTCCCTAATCTCTAGAGATTAGGTCTTGTTTCAGTGGGAGCTAGAGGAAGGCTTGGTTTGACATCTGGAATAGCTGGGTGAACCACTTGTGTGAAGTTTGTGCGGCTGACAATGTCAACCAAGCATGGTACTGACAACATGGGTCACTGTAAAGATGATGTCCTTGTTAACACATGAATTTCAGATCTTTTATTTTCCCAATATTTTAATAATTGGTTTAATCCTTGATTTTATTATCCTTTATTGGATGCAGTGTGTTTTGTGTTGTTTGTTGTATATGTTGCTTTGTTTTTGTTTTTGTTTTTTGTAACCATCCAGAGACTTTTTAGTATTGGTATATAAAAACTTTAAATAAATTAAATAATAAGTCTGGATGTCTACATGGATCACAGGAACAGATAGGATGCCTCCCTATTTATTGATATAGAAAACCACTGTGGTATTTTATTTGGAGATCTGTACATGGTGATGAGAGGATCATTTGGAAAGCTGCAAGAGCTTTCTCCACTGCAAGTGTTTCCAGAACATTTGTATGCTTGCAGGCTTTACACTTGTTCCATATTTTTTGAATCTTTAGAGTCCTGCAGTGGGCTCTTCATCTGAAAGAGAATCTTTAAATGTAAATGCTGACTCAGAGTGTGTATCCAAATGGAGTCCTCTTGGTGAGCTTGTAGAAATCTTGACTTGTCCAGACATATTTTGGTATTTGGAGTTGGGTTCATCAAGTGTCATCCATGGGATAATATGTATGGATAAATCGTAGCTGGAGAGGATGCATCTTGAGCCTGGCCAATTCTACTACTGTGGACCATTGCTGTCATGTGACCAAGGAGCCACTGGATGTGGAAGGCAGTGATGACAGAGTAAGGGGAGACATGAATTAGGTGTTTAAAATAATGCATGCTGTGGAGAAATTAGAGGAGGAGATATTTTTCTCCTTCTCACATAACACTTGAACACAGGGTCATCCTATGAAACTAATTGGTGGGAGGTTTAGGACAGTTAAAGGGAAGTTCTTCTTCAGACAGTGTATAATTAAAACTATGGAATTCACTGCTACAGGAAGTGGTGATGGCTAAGTGTTTCCTCGTTTATCAGAAGTGAAATGCCTACACACACCAGCTGCTGAAGAGCCTGGGCAAAAGGAGGTCTTACACCCATCCTGCTTGAGGGATCACAACTGGTTTGCCACCTTGGAGTACTAGACTAGATGAACCTTTAGTCTGATCCGGCGTAGCTTTTCTTATGTTCTTAACCACACTCCTTATAGTACCAAGAGGCTGCAGGGTGTTGAACCCAATCAGACATTGCTATTCTGCAATAGATAGGACGCAGACATCTATTGTTATTGTTTCGCATGTGGGAAGGAAGAGAGATAATCTTCTGTTAACCAAAAGGGTTGAGAAAAGGGGCCAGTCCAAGGAGATAACTCACCATTGGCACCTGTCAGCTTTGAAGAACCTGTGTTCTTGGAAGTGATTCTGTGAAAATGGAATTTAGGCCCAAGTGCTGGAACAGGAAGGTCATGTCTTTTTCCTGCACCCTATGTATATTATCCAGCCACTTCAACATCAGTTGCATGGAGATGGCACCTTCAGTGTAGCAGCATAGACAGGAATGGTATATCTACTGGCACTGAGTCCTCTGTGTGACATACATAAAAATGCATCCCTCTCCATATGCTGCTTGGTAGAGTTAGAACAAACCCTTGGCAAATCTGGCCCCTAATATCTGTGAACTTCTTGTGTTCAGCCCAGTCTTGCAACAAAGCTGAGCTGAGCTAAGTCCATGCACATTTGCAGAATGAAGATGTGTGAATGGCAACCTGTTCCTTGTCATGTGCAGAGGTAGCTACTCCATGTGGTGTGGAAGAGGAACACTGCTTGTGCAGCATGTGGGTGTCAATTCCTAGCAGGCACCTAGCAAACCCTGGCCACACTGTCCAGGAGCTCAGTCTCGGGGTCACTTCAAAGCAGACTGAAGTCTGTGGAGCCAAAGTTCGGGAATCTGACTGATTCCCACACCCGAACAGATTCCTCCTGCATTCCTACTGCTGGGTATGAAAGAGACTGGGCCATTCACAGAACTTGTCCTCAGAGGCAAGATCTTGCGTTTGCATAATTGCATTTGGAGAAGAGAGAGATGGGGCCACCAATGAGCAGAAGGCTGAGTCAGAAGCCTAGTTTTCAGCCTCTGAGGCAGCAAACAGTGGTTGTGGTCTGGAGTGTATAGAGGCAGGAGATGGTGATCAGCACAGTTGCATCGCAAAGGGAGAAGCATGTTCCAGACGTCCCTGAAGGTCCATAGGTCAAGAAGTTGGTACTTGTGCTCTTGGGGGCAGAGGTGGAGGCATTCAGAATGAAGGGTCTGCGAAAGCGTGCTCCTATTTTCCAAGATGGGACTTGGTATGGAACTCCCCTTGGTACTGAGGATCATAGTAGGCATCTGGCTTTTTAGGATACCCCAAGGATATATGCCAAATATCCTTGGTACAAAGGTGGGATGGACCATTCTGACCACCCAGAGTGCACACAGATGAGGCAGACAGAAACTTGTAATGGGTTCAGCTAAAGTTTGGATAGCTTTGATTCAAAGTACAAGTGATAGCTTTGGCAGAGGAAAGCAGTAAACAACTTTCAATGCCTATGGCACTAGTTTGTATTCATATTCAGAATATACAAATTAGTATTCAGAAAATTTCACATTTTGTCAAAAGTAGTAAAATCCGTTCCAGTCCAGATTTGTTTGGTTCAAAATTGCTGAAACCAAACTCCTTAGAACAGAATACATATCATTAACTTTTATATAGAAGATAAAAACAGGTATGCCAAAGATGGTGTAGCTTTTCATCTGATTTTAGACCTTAATGGTTTTATACAGCATATTTGAAGGCATATCTACTAAGAAAATGTAGTACATTCTGTATCAGCATTTTGCATGCACTTCTATTACTATTTACTAAAAATTCTGTTCATTTTTTAAATTTATAGATAGATTGGGGTTTCTTGCTGTTCTATATATTTGCTTTAACATTTAATTAAATTGTTATAACAGCATGCATTTCAATTTAAGCTTGGTCTGGGCTATATAACTTGTACACTTTTCTTTCTAAGCTACTTGTCTAAGCTTATTCAATCACCTATATGTAAAACATGTTTCATGGCTTAATTTCCTTATACCAGAACTTTGTCTGTTCAAAGGATGAACTATTACGTTGACTATTAACTGATCACCAGCCCACCCCTTCGCAGAGATAGTAGCTGTAACTTAAATATCTTTTTTGTCTCTCTATAATCAGTTTCCAGAGGAGACAGAATTGGATCTTTTGTCAGTAACCATTGATGGTCCATCCCATTACTCATCCACTAGTGAAGGATCATGCTCAGTATTCAATTCACCCAAAACTCCAGCTGTCTTCTCACCAAGCATTCCCTTCCAGCCTGAAGAAGGAAGACGAGATGACAGCTTGTCTTCAACAAGTGAGGATTCTGAAAAGGAGGAAGATCATGAAAGAGAGAGGCCTTATTTTTACAGGAAAACACAGTGAGCACATTCTAAATAATGAATTATTCATTAGAATAAATGTTATAGTCGTTAACTAAAAATGCAGGATATACCAAAACAAGTCAATCATTTTGTATAAAATTACAAAAATTATACTGATCAGGTGAAGAAGAAAAATAGGTAACGGTAACGGTTGTTGGAGTACACATACCATTTAGCTCATATTGCCTACACTGTGATTACAGAAGTAATTAAAATGTATTAGGATTTTATCTACCTTAAATTACATACCTGTTGCAAATTTTTAAAAAAGTTTGCTGAGGTGATTGGACATTTTGGCAGAAATGGCTAATACTTACAGGAAGGGCCAAATCTGTATGGTTGAGCACATACTTTGCATACATAAAGTCCAAGTTCAATCCCTGACATCTCCAAGTAGAGCTGGAAAACACACCTGTCTGAAATCACTGGCAATATAGACACTATTGAGCTAGATGGACTAACTGTTTGATTTGATAGGTGGTAGTTACCTATGTCCCTGATTTGGTTTAAATGTTAAGCACTCTGAATCTAAGTATTCAGCAGCATAACTTTGATGAGTAACTTTTTTCAGCAGCATAATGAATTGAGTGTGCTACATGAACCCTGTTTTCATTTTCATTTCCATTTGCTTCTTCCTGTTCTGAAACTGGAGTAATTGTAATAGTTAGTGGTTTGCCAGTTACCTATGGGCTTAGACTCTAGGAAATGTACTAAAACATTTTATTGTTCTCGGACTTATGTGAACCCTAACCCTAATGAAAGTTGCCTTATGGTCCTTTAAAGTGTTTGGTACACTCAGGCTAAATATAAACAATGGTGGAGAATTGTGATTTTATCTTGCAATGTCTTTTACTTTCACTGAAAACTGTGGGAGATGCCATGTCCCTCCGCAGCTGCTGTTACCCATGGAATGGAAAATATAAGAACTCGTACCCAGAAGTTTTTTGTGGATGATAATAATAGCTTCAGAGTATAGTTGAGTTTGTTTTTTTGTTTTTTTTGGGCGGGTGAGAGAAATTACATGGGGGCAGAATTAATCTCTCTACTTCCAATGCTGCACCCACATCCAAATCAGAGGATCTCACATCACATTATGGTTAGTTTGGCTATTATTCTCATGTGTTGCATAGCAAAACATTAACTTAAACATATATATGAAATCATCTCCAACAAATCAGGTAAGCTTATTTTGTCAAATATTGCATAAGACTTGTTTGCTTTCTATAGGGCCATTTCTCGTAAGAAAGCAACAGGTTTTGCTGCTGTCCACCAACTGTTTACTGAACGGTGGCCAACATCTCCAGCCAGCAGAAGTATAGGTGGAACAACTACAGAGAGAAATATTGACTTTGAACTTGATGTCAGAGTTGAAATTGACAGTGGGAAGTGTGTACTTCATCCAACAACGCTTCAACAGGAACATGATGACATAAGCTTAAGGAGGTAAAATTCCTTCCAGAAACAATATGTTTGCTAAACTATATTGAGAACAACAGCATGGTTACAGTGCAGAACTTTAAAGATGCAATTCAAACAAAGACATTTGCATCATGTTAATGCTATCTGCTATAGAGAAGTTCATAGTGATTTCTATGCACCATGTAGAAAAAAGTGGACAATTTTATTTTAAGGCAGCAGTCTAAGGTAGCTGTTTGTGTCCCCATGACACAACACTGAAGAACTTTTTTTTCTTCTTTATATGGTGCAAACTGTATCACAAAATTTCTTTAAAGACCTCCTCTGAATTGTGAATGGCATGAACATAAACAAGATGGGGCATTGGCTCTTTTCCCATAGTGATAGCAAATACCTTTTCCCAGAAATTTTGCAGAGTTATACTGTTTGAATGCCATTTATGTCAACTCAACTGTAGCAATCTATCTGCAGACTTAGAACAGTAGACATTATTTTATTACTGACAAGCTTTAAATTAAGCTTAAGGTTAAATCAAGGCATTTAGATTATGCATCCAATATTATTGTGTGTGCAAGTGTGTGAATGGATGGAAGTCTAAATAAGATACTACAGGACACAATATATTAAAAGGCAGAAATATTAAGCTTTATGCATTTAGATTCTGCAACTGATATCCAGTACTTTCATAAACCAAAGTAAAGAGGCATTTTCTGTTTGTTCCCCCTGCATTTCCCCACATAACTTTTAATGCTGTTTCGTAAGGCCCCCAGTTGTATGGAAAAATTGTGAGGCTGAAGAGAAATGAGATTGAGACCACCCCTTTCTGTGTGGAACCCTGCTTATGAAAGTCTGAATCCAATGGATAGTTTGGGTTCAGTTGTTTTTAACAGTGCCCAAATAGCATAATGTTACATTTTGTTCCTGTTGAGTAATTGTCATGCAGTATTATTTATTCTTTAGGAGCTATGATCGTAGTTCCAGAAGTTTAGATCAAGAGTCTCCTTCAAAAAAGAAGAAATTTCAAACTAACTATGCTTCAACTACTCACTTACTAGCTGGAAAGAAAGTGCCATCATCATTGCAGACAAAGTCTAGTGACATGGAAACAACAGTGTTTTACATTCCTGGTGTAGATGTAAAGGTAACAAAAAGAAGTTAGACAAATGCTAGTCTCTCACGTGAAACAAATATGATCAAATAGAACTGTAGCTTTCTGTCACTTAACTGATTTTCTCATTTGGTGCATCCATCACAGTATAAATGTCGACCATTTGCCTTCTGAACCACACAGGCTCATGAAACACACAAAACATCTTCATCTACAAATCTAATATTCAAAGTTTCCAGCACTACAGAATGCAAAATACTGCCAGTATGGGAAATCTCTTTGTTTTGGATGTTTTTTCTAAAAAAAGTGCCATCTTAACTAAAAAAAATGCCCAATAACAGTTAAAAATTGAATAAAGCATAATCATAAAACTGGCACACCATATACAATAATTAAATGCAACCCCCTAAAAACCCAACATGGGAAGTACTAAAGGTAGCTCCAGCAAAATGACAGCTAAAGTATCTTCAGATGTAATTAATTATGCTAGTGCATTGCAGCAATATTGAACTTAATTGTTATTATTATAAAACTTTGTCTGAAGTAAGGTCTCCCATTTTCAATATACATATGCTAGGAAGCTCTTCTGTCAAGATATAAGAGGAACTATAAATGCAGCTAGTGAGACAATGCTTATATGTGTAGTTGGTAATGGTGGTACATTGACAGTTTCGCCTCATTTCAGCTTCATTACAATTCTAAGATGTTGAAGACTGAATCACCAAATGCATCTCGAGGATCATCACTTCCAAGGACACTTTCTAAGGAATCCAAATTATATGGTATGAAAGATACAGCCACACTTTCTGGCCACAGCAAGGCTAAAACTTTACTTCCTCCCCAACCACCACCAATCCCATCAGGTAGATATTTCTCATTCATTCTGTACCATTTGATCCAATTCTCCCTGTCATGTGCTCAGATCTATTCTTCTTTGTAGTTTAAGTATCCAGTCTGATATGGTCACAAACATCTAACACTCATTATATGTCAATTCTAAGTGCTACTAATGCTTGCTGTATAGAAACTTTCTTACACCCCTGTATGTATCAGTCACACATTAAGATCTTGGCTGAACCCACATTCCTGATAAATGTTCTTGCTATATAACATTTATTTTATCCAGTAAAACTATTTTTCCAATTCTTTGGTCCTTATATAGGGTTTACTGCACTGACTCTGCAATCAGACATAATGTGACTTATATCAAGTGTTAAAAAGATGACATTATCTGTCATATATTATATTCAGTGTTGTGGAAATTATGAAACTTTTACTGTGTCACTTAATCACCATGGGCATTTTGCTTTTCATACAATGGAAACAGCAAATGTTTTACCCAGGAGGTACTACTATTGCTTGTGGAAAGTTTGGGGTACAAGTATTCAGAATAAGTAATTTTACTTAGTCATCATTATAGAAAAATAGAGCCAAACATAAATCCTTAATTTCACAACTGTCTCTAGATGCAGCACAGTTTTCCACACAGTTTGCAGCACAGACATCATTGTAAGACTATTCTATTCTGTTTTAGTTTTGATCATCTTTAAGGGTACCAATTTAATTTGATACCAAAAAAGGAGGGTAGCAGACAAATTAGACCAGGGTTAGGTAACTTGACAACATGGATTGTTAACATTGTGGCTCGGTTCACACATCACAACAAGCCACGGTGATTTATGAGCCATGGTAGGGTCACTGTGGTTTACCATGACAGCAGAACTCAGTGCAGGCTATCCAGTATGGGGGTTTTTCCAACAAGCCGGGCCGCATCAAGTATTCCACCACCGCGGTGGTGGTGGGCCGCTCATCCCATGGCCGGCCCGGGCGCCGCCAGCACTTTGAAGGCCGCAGGGCCCCTCCCCTGTGCCCCGCCCGTCCCGGCAATGGGCCCACGAGCTGCGAGTTTGAGACCCCTGATTTAAAACAAAATTGGCAGATTCAATTGTCCTGTCAACATAGCATTGCCTGATCAATTTCTTTTTTAAATGTTTCAAGGAAATTGATACAAAGGGTAATAGGTATACAGTTGCAAAGGAACAGGGGAGAAATAGTAAGAAAAGTGAGGAACTCAATAGCTCAATTCAGGAACACTGAAAATTGTGTGTGGGGCAGAGGAAAGCTCATGGAGTAAGTATACTGGTTGTGTGTGGTTGTGAGGGTTCTTTTTCTTACTATTATTTCTTTCCCATTCTTTCTCAATTCTGGACAAACAAGCCTATATAGAGCCTAGTCTTGTCAAGTTCCTTGTATGCTACAAACTCCAGTCCCTTTAATTACATTGCCAAGGGAAAAACAAACCAAGTCTCAACCTGGCCAATCATTTTTCAGGCATCACATGGATAGATGGGTGAACAGCTGACCTAGTGTGACTTATCAGGCTTAGTTTATAGATTCCATATGCTTTACTATGCCTCATGAACAGCCACAGAATAGAACTGGACAAGAGTCTAGAGCTACTAGATTTAGTTTTGAAATCTAGGTCACATATCTGCTTTCCTGCGTGGTAAGAGAACTCACTATTGGGTGCCTCTGTAACAACAAACAAGAAAGAAACGCCACAGTAACTGTCAAATGTTCCAATTTACCATATTTTTAAAAAGCAAGAAAATCTGATTTACTTACTTATTTATATTTTAATCATCATCAAGTTTTGTTCAAGTCAGTTAGAAATCATGGGAAAACTGACAGAAATCATGAATTTAAATTTCCTCTTTTTCTTGGTGATTTCAGTAAACTTATCTATTGCATTGGCTATTGTAATCTAAGTGATATAAGAGATTCAGTGAATGGGACTGAATGTGACTTAAATAAACTTGTGTTCTATTTTAAAGGAGAAGTGATATTCCATTAAAGCGTTTTTTCTAAATCTTTCAGCCAAAGGAAAGGGAAGTGGCGGTGTAAAAACAGCAAAACTATATGCTTGGGTAGCGCTCCAGTCTTTGCCAGAAGAAATGGTGATTAGTCCCTGCTTGTTAGACTTCCTAGAGAAGGCCCTTGAAACAATTCCTATTACTCCAATAGAAAGAAATTATGCAGGTATATTCAGGTTTTTACTCTTTTAAAATTCTGTTTTAAACTTTGTAGGGGTTTATATTATGTGTTTTATTTTAGGGGTTTTATTTTTGCAAACTGTTCAGAGAGCTTGGCTGTTGGGCAGGAGGTAAATGTAATAAATGATACATTACAGATTAATTTGCTGTACTACAGCTTTTATTTTCTTATGTAAAAGTTTATCTTCCTGTTTTAATACTTTCCTTGTTTTTTTTTAAAGCTGTCAGTTCACAGGATGAGGATATTGGCCAGTTTGATATGCAGGATCCCTTAGAAGAATCCACAGCTTCATTAGTATCTTCATCAACATCAGCATACTCTTCTTTCCCTGTTGATGTGGTAGTTTATGTAAGAGTTCAGGTGAGGATGAATGCCAACATAAGTTTATCTGAGGGTCATTCATAACCTATTGAAATCAAGTGGCAAAATCAATGAGGGTTGTTGTCATAACTAGTTGTTCAAGCTTATTAAATTAAAATTAAACCCTTACATTTTCTCACCACATATCTTCCCTTCATCCTTGCAGGAAAAGTGCAGTTCATTTTAATTTTTAAAAAGTACATGCATGCATATTTGCTTGTTTTACCCTGCTGTTAAATCCTATGAATTGTTAAACTGAATTAATTGTATATTTCTGATGTTATATTAAAGGTTGTTGTATCCTACCCTACTTTCACAAAGCTTAAAGCAGACTTTCACCTCACAGTAATCCAGTGAAAGCATGATTGGCTGAGCTGTGTTGATTTGCTCAGGCTTTATAGCCAACCTTGAACCTGTTTTTCATATCCAGACCCAACACTAGCCACCTATTTCCTGTGTATTTTTTTTTTCTTTTGGTCTACTCTTGATGCTTAAGCAATTGAATATGTTAAACACAATTCTTTAATTGGTTGCACTGAAAGTATTTCTTTAAATGCTGCATTAAAATGGCCTAAGCAGTAGGAAGTAATTTTAATCTTTGCTATCAGTCCTTGCAGTCTTGACAAGATGCATTAGGAATTTGGGCAAAGTATGCAGGAAACTGCGTAACCTTTAAATGGCAATCATTTTTAACCTGCTTGTTTCATTTTTTCAGCTCATGCCCTAATAAACCAAAATTAATTCAAATTTACTAGACATTTGATATTTACTAGTTCTCAGATCACGATTTTATATGTGTCCTAAAAAATAGTTTCTCTTTTCTTCAGCCTTCACAGATCAAGTTCAGCTGCTTACCTGTATCACGGGTAGAATGCATGTTGAAACTTCCCTCCCTTGACCTTGTATTTTCTTCTAATCGTGGGGAATTAGAAACTTTAGGTACATCCTGCCTTACCGAAAGTTCTTTACAGTGTGGATCAAAGATGCCTGTTAAAACTGTCTCACCAGGTATAATTTAATTTTTTAAATGCTATTAAATTTTAATTAATTCATTGGCCTTGATAGTTGAAAAGTTATTAGATAACAGGTATAAATTGCAGTTTAATGCTATGAGAGTGATGTGCTCCTACTTCATCTTT